CAGTCTCTTGCACGGGAGAAATGTGCACAGAAATGTGACTACCCAGCCCTAAACCAAACCTAGTTATTTTGGTATGCACGATTCTGCTGTTCTACTCAACTTCTACCTATTTCTCCTAGTGCTTTTTGGGGGGGGTTACCATAGATAAAAGTTCACTTGGCTCCAGTGTTCACCAAAACCCAAATGTTTTTCACATCAGCAAGGGACCAAACACTTAACAATTCATTGGGCTTCTGGCTGCTACATCACTTTTGAGGCACTTTGGCCACTCTATTAGAGAAGGGGTTGATATGGTTCCCACCCCAGGAGATTTCTTTAATCTTTAGTAGGGAGGAACTGCATGTATACACCCGGCTTACATGCCTTCTTTTACCCCTTTGATGAGCTACCATTAGGTGCCTCAAAGCCTTCCAAACACTCTCAAGCACAGAATTTGGTTTTCCATCAATTTTACCCTAGGGACTCTAGTTCAGCATAAATCTTGCCACATTTTGTTTTCATTAACCTGCAAAGTAGGTCTCTTTTTCCACTTTTTGTCCCCCCCCCCATATGCTTCAGCATGTTTTGAACCCCATTCACACAGGGCAGGACCCTGGAGGCCGGAGCTGATGCATAGGGGTGGAGGGGTGCTTGCTTTCCATGTTTGCTCAGCCTGCTTTCTTACAGAACCAAGGTCCACCAGCCCAGGGATGGTACCACCTACAATGGCCTGGGTCCTCCCGCACCAGTCACTACCCTACAGTCTTACATACAGCCTGGTCTTATAGGGCCTTTTTCTTGATTGAGGTTCCCCCCTCTCAGGTGACGACATAAAACTATCCAACGCAGCCAGCCCCTCTGCCTAAGGCTCAGAGACAATCAGGGAAGAGATGGCAAAAAGATTGTAGGGCCAGAGGCCAGGGAGGAGAAGGGCAAAAAAGTCTTCTGGACATGACAAACAACTGCATCATGGATCCACAGACCCTGTGGTTGCCTGCACAGGACACGTATTAAAAAAATCCAGCCAGTCAACATGCCAGTGCCCTCGCAGAGAGCCTTGGGAGCCCCTGCCTCCAGCTGCGGAGCTAGTGACGGTTGTTAGCTGTTACAGGAGGGAGAAACAGTTTTCTTTAAGGATGTAGTCCCCAGTAAGTAAGTCATGCTCTAGTGGATGTATACGGACAACACAAATTGGACTCGCAGTGTTTCTCACATTAGGAGGGTAACTGGATTGATTTTTTTTTAAGTAGACATGAAGTTGGGAGGGGTTGAGAGAGTAGGAGATGGACCTGGAGAGAATTAGAGGGAAGAATAGGGTTGAATATGATCACAATGTATCAGAAGCAGCCAGGTGGTGGTGGCGCACATGTTTAATCCCAGCACTCAGGAAGCAGAGGCAGGCCGATCTTTGTGAGTTTGAGGCAAGCCTGGTCTACAAAGAGAGTTCCAGGACAGCTAGGGCTGTGACACAGAGAAGTTGTCTCAAAAATTAAAAACAAATACTGGAGGTATTTATGAAATTTTCAAAAATTAGTAGCACATTATATTAAAAATATTACAACCTATGGTGGTACAGAACAAAACCACTAAAGATTCGTACCAGTGCTAAATCCCAATCTGAACCAATCTTTATTCCCTCTCCAATGAACACTCCTGTACAGCCTGTCAAACTGGGCAGAAGAAATCACTTTCCTCAGTACTGCTTGCACGGAATTTGTTTGTCTCCAATCCCTAATGTTGGTAGGAAACTCAGCACGCGAAAACCAAGTGTCATTGATAGGTATTATAAGCCAGGGATTTCTTTCCTTCAGATTGCCTCAGGTGAGAAGCCTTTGTCGTAGGGAGGTTTTAGTTATATTAATCAATTTCTCTAATTCCACATCACTCAGAATGAGTCCACCCATCCTTATATCCTATACCCCGAAAGAGATAGGCTGTTTGTTGAAAACTCTTCCCTAAAGAAATCAGTTCAGAGGTAGAGAGCATTCGGAACTGGGTCATTATCAAGGCCATGTCTGCAGAGAATTTTTCATTTTTACTTCCTTGATTGTAAAGGTTAAACCTAAGGAACGACTTCTGTCACATCTACCCCATTCTCCCTTTTCTTACTGTCGAATTCTTTTCATGGGTTCTCAGTTTTGGATTTCCAAAAGTGCTCTTCAGCATAGATCCATTTTACACCATCATTCTTTTAAGTGCCACCAGTTTTTCGAAATGACAAGCTGACACCTCCATTTCATCTTTCCACCTTCCTTTTCCTGATGAATCAGAATAATGAGGGGGATAGCATCCGCTTATCTTCCCTGTGTTGCAATCCACCCCCGCCCCAACCAGGGCAGCATCTTTCGGGGCAAAGACTGTTGTTTTCAGGCTGGTGATAGGTTCTGAATGGAAAGTGTCATATTGCAAAATTTAAGAAGTATGTGGGTATTGTAAAAACAGAGTCTTATTCTGAGGCTATATAGATCAGATATTTGGGTATAATGGACTGTTCTGTGCTTACATTCCCATAGTCTCTCATGTTATATCAATGCTAGAACTGATATAAAAGCTTTAATAGACATTGGGCATTTTTAGCCACTGTCTCCCCACCCAAAGGAAGGCTACGTAGGGATGTTCTATATTGTGACTTAAACAAAGTTGACTGCTTGCAAATCTACTCCTGGTAAAGCATCCAGGAAACAACTGTTTTTTATAACAGCTGAGTAAATTTATCTGTCCTTACCTCTTGGACCATTTGAGCGGGATTACATTTCAACAGAGTTCAAGACGGCCCACTATTTTTGGGATAATAACATTTATAATGTTATGTCCTTCTTGAGACTCTAATAGTGTGAGGAACCAGGACCAAATTAGAAGTTAGTCTCTAATTGTATAAGGCATTCAATCATTAGATAGGCTCCAAGCAGTTAAGGTCTAGGAAATGGAAAATTTTGGCTTTGATTTTTAACATTTATATTCTAACATTTTTGTCTCTACAGAATTTACACCTAACTAGAAATTTGATAATGATCACAATGGAAAACAGAATCATAAAATATTCATAAATTAATTTATCTAATGATATTATTAGTAGAGAAATTAATAAGTAGTAAATTGCCTTCAGAAACTTTAATGCCCTAGAATAAGTAATTTCAGTGAAATTCCATAGCAGACAAGAATGTGCCTTAATCCATTTGAACTAATATATGAGAATATGTGAGACTGAAGAGGGTGTGAAGAATAGAAATTTCTTTCATAGTATACCTGGGGCCTGAGGATCCTAAACTGGATTCACTAGCAGTACAGTTGTCTATTAAGAGCTGCTCTGCTTCTAAAACAACGCCTTCAATAATGTGCTCTCTGGAGGGGAGGAAAATCAGGTTCTCAAATGCCAGAGGCAGAATGGGAAAGCAGTATTTCTCCCCATCAAGATTTCTAAGCACAACTTAGTCCCAGTCACAAAGGCTCTACCTCCATGAGTTTAATCACTCCTCAAAGGACCCATCTCTTCATACCATTGCATCTCTGGCTAAGTTTCAACATGAATTCGGGGGGGGGGGGGGGGGACGACAAAAACTGTAGTATCGTATGCTACAGGAGAAGGAATGTTGTCCATGCTTCCTGATCCTAACATGACCTACAAGACCTGCAGGGAGACTTTCAAACTGACTTAGCCAGCAGTGGTGTCACATGCCTTTAGTCCAAGCACTTAGGACGTACAGGCAGGCAGATCTCAGTGGTTTGAGGCCAGCCTGGTCTACAAGAGTGAGTTCCAGGACACCCAGGGCTGCTACACAGAGAAACCCTGTCTCAAAAAAAAAAAAAAAAATGAACCAATAACCAAACCAAAACCAAAACAAAGTTGCTACCTGCTTTTTTTTTTTTTATCAATGAGGACACCCGAGGCTAAGGTGACATAACCTACTCCAGGTTTTCTAGCCTGTTAGAAGGAGAGAATGGGGTTAGAATTCAGATCCTCCCACCCTATGTGTATTTTCAGGATATTTTATCTCCAGATGGCAGCGGCATAGGTATTTATCATGCTCTGGAGCCATACTCTCTAGCTACTGGATGTGGCACTGTAAGACTTTCTCTTATGAAATGTGGGCAAGCCAACACTGGAGGCAGCTCTACAGGGTTCTGCTGGAGAATTAGGACATCAAGATTTTTCTCAGCTACATAGACAGTTTGAAGCTACTCAGTGCTACAAAAGATCCTATCTCAAAAGCCAACAGTATAAACAGGGTTATTTGTATAGTTATTTCCAAAGTTACCAAAAAGGTGTGCAAATAATGACTCAGGGAATCAGATTAGAAAATAAAGTGTAACTGCTCACGAGATAAAAAAAAAAAAAAAAACTCTGGAGAAAAATCATTGCCAATCTAATAACCTCTAATTCATTTACTGGGATCAGCAAAAATTTCAGTAACTAAGCTGGCATCAAACAGGACATAAAATAGCAAGATGCACTGTGTACCTCATGAGAAACAGAAAAATAAAACCAGCAAACTAATTTCATTTGCTCTCCCAAATAGCTTTTATAACCAAAAGTGGTCTGCTCCAGGAATTCAAGGTTGGTTTTATACCTAGAAACCACTGGAATTTTTCACATCAGCAATAGTAATAATTTAATATCAATACTAAGGTTTATTGTCCCTAATCAGCTATGTAAATCTGTGATAATGAGTAACTATAAGGTTTGGGAAGGGGGATAGGACTCAAGAGGGACACTGAGACATATTACTGGGAAGTAAGTTTATTTTAAAAGTTATTAAAAAGACATATAGGCAACAATATGGTAGGGATGCTTAGGAGAGTTCAGGACCCTAGCACTAGAGACAGATACCATGGAAGATGTTCTGGAAATAGGAAATCAGGGTACACATGGCAGATGCCCAAGTCTCTTATACACTTTAGAGGGTGGGAAAGGTCTCACAGTACCTGCTTGTCACCAAGCTCTCTAGTTTCTGTGCAGGAGGTAAGGAAGAGGTAGGCAGGAGAATATGTAGCCACCATAACCCCCATTAATGTAAACTCACTTCTCCAGGTGAAAGACTTTGGCACACATAAGTCTGTTACTTGAAGATTATGTCTCCTGAGGGTCCTGCCTGTGTCTATGAAAGAGGAAAGGCTCTGTTAGGCATCATGGCTTGAGAAGTAGCTGAATTCTAACATCACATTCTTTTGATAACAATTTATTTTCTGGTTACTATGTACTTTTAAATTACAGAATGAGTTTATACTAATTCTTTTCTTTTTACTAATTCTTTTCTAAAATTCATCTTTTTTTTGAAATCTCCACTGCAGTCTCCCCCCGCATTCTCCCCTCCAAGTCCCTCTCTCCCATTCACCATACCACCCCCCAATCCCTTCCTCTCTGTCTCCATCCAGGATGTGGCATATAGAACAATGGCATATCAAGTTTCAGTAAGACTAAACACCTCCCATGTATCAAGGCTGGGCAAAGTGATCCAGTATGAGGGATAGGGTACCAAAAGCCAGTACGAGAGTCAGAGACAACCCTTACTCTGTTAGGAGTCCCACAAGAAGACCAAGCTACACAAATGTAACTTATATGCAGAGGGTCTAGGTCAGTCCCATGCAAGCTCTCTGGTGGGTGGTTCAGGCTCTGTGAGTAGCTATGAGCCCAGGTTAATTGATACTGTGAGTTTTCTTGTGGTGTCCTTGACCGCTCTGGCTCCTACACTCTTTTCTCCTCCTCCTCATCCACAGTACTCCCAAACTCTGCCCAATGTTTGCCTGTGGGTCCTCATATGGGACTCCCTCAATTCCTGGATAATGCATCTCTGATGACAATTGGTCCAGGCACCAATCTGTTCATAAGAAATGGCTAGTTCAGGCTACTTATTCACTATTGCTAGGAGTCTAAGCTGGGGTCCTCCCCATAGACTAGAGTTTATACTAATTCTTATACATAGGGTTATTTATGATAGTCTAATCAACTGTATAGAAACTGCAGTGCTCAAGCTTCCAATCTATTTGGAATTATTTCATTTTCGTCCTTTGCCCTTAATCTTTTGTGCTGTTCCTTTCTAACTTGGACCTGGCCCAAATTCTTCCACAAAGCAGGTATCAAGAAAAGGTGGTGACTTAAGAATACACCAGTGATGGGCTGGAGAGATGGCTCAAGAGTTAAGAGCACTGACTGCTCATCCAGAAGACCCAGGTTCAATTCCCTGCACTAACATGGCAACTCACAACTGTCTGTAACTTCCAGTTCCAGGGAATCTAACATGCTTTCACAGACATACATGCAGACAAAATATTAATGCACATGTTTTGTACCATGAAACTGAATGAAGTTATAGTTTTCCATGTTGTATTTATACTCTTGTTTCTTATATATTTATCACCATTTTCAAAAAGGTAAAGTTCATATGAATTAAAATAAACCATTAATTGCCAGAGTTATAAAATTCAAAGCTGATGATGGAATAAAAATGTAAAGATAAAGAGAAATATTCAAACTGGGATGGCAGTGGTGGTGCATGCCATTAATCCGAATATTTGGGAGGCAGAGGCAGGTGGATCTTTGAGTGGAGGCCATCTTAATATACAGAGTGAATTCCAGGACAGCTAAGAAAACACAGAGAAACCCTGTATTGGAAAACCACCAAAAGAACACAAAATTGACTCGAATTAACTTGTGCTCAGTGATGCAAGTGATTACCTAACATGACTAAGAAGTGAGTTTGCTCACAAGCACTGCAAGAAAAAAAAATAGAATTAAGACCTATTAATCATTAAGAAGTATAATAGCAACCAATTTGTTGTTGTTGCTAGTTTTTTTTTCTTTGAGACAGAGTTTCTCTGTAGCTTTGGAGCCTGTCCTGGAACTTGTTCTCTAGACCTGGTTGGCCTCAAACCCATAGAGCTCTGCCTGTCTGTGCCGCCTGAGTGCTGGAATTAAAGGCATGTGCCACCACTGCCTGGCGAATCACTAACAGTTTTTAAATAGAAAAAACACAAACAGGTATTTTGAGGAAATGGGTAAGCATATAGTCTCTACAAGTTTTTAGAAAGAATTTATTTAGGTATAAAATGGGATAAACACTCCTCACTGATACAGATTAAATGCTGCTGCAATCAACTGATGTGTCCTGCTATTCTGCTAAGGGGAACTAGGGTCCACCCACACAAGCAAGAAAACGAGAGAGTCAGAGAGTACAGCCTGTCCCCTCAATTTTTAAGTGGTCAGGTACGCAGACAAGATCACAATCTAGGGCTTTGTACTCCAAAGATATTGGCTAAATGGATCGAAATCCCACTACAGTGCATGGTTAGAAAAATAGACTCCAAGAAATATTTCCCCATACATTTAAATAGCAAAATTAAGTGATCATGAATTACACAAAACAGAAAGAAGTATTCTGACTTTTTAAGTTATGTTCATTCTTCATTTTAATGTCCTTATGTCAAAATACAAATACACAAACACACACAACCTTTTAGCACATACAATGTTATGGGTAGCCCGCCAGAAATAATGACCAATCAGACACAATTTTAACTAACTGAAAGCCTTTGTTTCAGCTGGTAGGAACTACATTCAGGTATTCAGGACCCAAGTGTAGCAATGAGTGTTTATGGTAAGGGGAAAAAAACAAAAACAAAAACAAAAAAACTAAAAGCCTATTCTAGTATCTTGCTCAGCAGCTTCAGGGTAGGAATGTAGGTGGGTGATATGGGATGTCCTTCTATATATGTGATGCTTTTATGGTTGATGAATGAAGCAATTTTGGCCAATGGCTTAACAGAGTAAAGCCAGATGGGAAATCCAAACAGAGATGTATAGAAAGAGTAGGCAGAGTCAAGGAGACACCATATGGGTGCCGAAGGAGAAAGCTACCAGAATATTACCGGTAAGCCAAGCCTTATGGCAACACATAGATTAATAGAAATGTGTTAATTTAAGATTTAAGAGCTAACTAGAAATACACCTAAGCCATTGGCCAAATAGTGTTTTAATTAATATAGTTTCTGTGTGATTGTTCAAGTCTGGGTGACTGGGAAACAAAAGTGCAGTCTCTTTACAAATGGTGTGTTTCTTTGCGAATGAAGACTTGCAGAACTGGGCAGAATAGAAACTTCCATTCACAGGTGGGAGTTTCTGCAAACAATCAGATTAACAGAAGCTAAGGTAAGTAGTTAGCTGGAAGGGAAGGTTTGTACAAGCAGGCAGTTTAGCAGAAGCTAAGTTAGCTAAGGCATCTTGACTCTGGGTTCCTAGAATAGAGTTGAGTAATTTTTCAGGATTTGACATCAAGGAGATCAAAGTCTAGTCATCTCTTATGGGCTTTCAGTAATATGCTGGAAGCCCCAGCAAGATCCACAGAGACTGGATCCCGACACTTAGGGACTCCCAGGAGCAGGAAAGTGTGCACCAGCTGGAGAAGACTTCTAGATGTGTGTAATTTGTGATATTCCAGAGCCCCAGTAAAATCTATCTCTAACTGGTTGCTACTGTGTGCTCTGGAGACACCCCAATGCCACCACCCAAAAGGAAAAAAGGTATTGTTTGGTCTGTGGTATGGGAGGTCCTTCTGTCTATGTGCTGCTTTTATTGGTTAATGAGCAAAGAACTGGCTTGGCCTAAAGCATGGGAGGAGGAGGGTAGAGTTAGAGAGAAGCCATGTAGCCCTGCCAGAGACAGATGCTGAATCTTTAGCTGGTAAGCCACAGCCTTGTGACCATACACAGATTAATAGAAATGGGTTAAATTAATTTAAGAGTTATACAATAAGAAGCTATAGCTAATGGGCCAAGCAGTAATTTTATTAATACAGTTTCTGTGTGAATATTTCAGATCTAAGATAGCAGGACAGCCGGGAACCAACAAGCAGCCTCCCTTCTACAACAGATTGGCACCAACATGGCAAACTAAAATCCACTTTAAAGCCTGAGAGTGCTTAATTCCATAAACAAAAATCACAAAAATACAGAGTTTAACGCAGCTTCTTGCTGTTTACTGGCAACATGCCACCACAGCTCCTTTAAGGGAGGTTTTCCTGATTCATTGGTTGTAGGAAAAAAGTCACACCATTTTGAAATACAGGCTTTCTGGGCCATGCTGCCAGTGCAACCTCTGGCTCTTTTGGGAGATGAAGCATTTAGATGGGGCTTGTGAGCAGCATGCTGTGGCTTGCTTAATGGTGACATTGACTGCCTGTGTGCCTGAGAATGGGGCTGTGTGTATGGCTCTCAGAGGTAAGAGGGGCTCCACTATGCTGGACTGGGCGGGCAATCAGGTAGTACCATAGATATCATAGTAATTGAACAGCTTAAGTTTAAGACTGGGCAGGCAAGCAGAAAGTACCATATATATAATAGTAATGACACAGCTTAAGTTTTAAAAAGCACTTAGCATTTTAAAAAGTGGTCTTGGACAGGAAAGAATTACAGATATGCAATAAAGACAAATCCAGATGAGTCACAGTATTGAATAAATATACGTAGGCTTGGAAGAGAGAAGAAAAAGAGTATAGAGAGTCATAAAATAAAGTTAATGCTTTTTTTAATTAAAAAGATAAAGTCTTTAGTGAGACAGAGTACAGACAGTCATAGATTAAAAGGAGCAAAGAAAAATAAGCCATGCAAAAAATGGAAAATTCACAGAGTTTGAATTATGTATATTATTTGTTCTTTGTGATTTAATTAATACAGTGATTTAATTAATATAATTTATGTGTGATTATTTCGGTTCTAAGCTAGCTGGGTGGCTGGGAATCAACAAGTGGCCTCCCTTCTAAAACAGGTCTGAACATGTCCAGAGGTAAGTTTAACCTGTATGAGGTACCCGAATTACTTTGAGCCAGCCAGGTTACCCAGAAAAACCCAAACCTGTTACTGTTCTCTCAACCCTGCTGGAAGAAATTGACCTTCCTTACTCCTCCTGCTCCAGAGTGCTCAATTCTGGCTCCTTTGGTGGCTTGACTACTGCCTGTGGTTCAATATCATGGTTCTGTTCAATGTATGGAAGTGGGAAGAGGTCTGGCTTCCCATCCAAAGGAGCCCCTGCCATCTAAGCAGAGGACATGCAGGGAAGAGTGAATACTTCCCAGAGCTGCCCTGAGCTGCTAGTTGAGTCCAAAAA